TCTCATGCTGTTATTTATACTAGCTTTATAATAAGTCCTGATATCAAGTAGAGTAAGTCCAACCACTTTGTTCTTTTTAAAGTTGTCTTTGCTAGTCTTGACCCTTTGCATTTTCATACACATTTTATAATCAGTTTGTCACACACACACACCCCATACTTGCTGGGTTTTCATGAGACCGTATTGAGTAATAGATTAATTTAGAAGAATAAGTATCTTCACAGATGTATACTCTTCTTTAGGTCTTGAAAAATTTTGTCTGGATAAAATTTTTAGTATTCTATGTGGAATACTTGTCCTACCTTGATTTATATTGGATTTTGTTTTTGTTTTTGTTTTGGAGACAGGGTCTCATTCAGTTGCCCAGGCTGGAGTGCAGGGATAAGATAACAGCTCAGTAAAACTTCAACCTCCCAGGACTCAAGCGATCCTCCCACCTTAGCCTCCAGAGTAGGTGGGACTACAGGCATGCACCACCATTCCTGGCTAATTTTCTTTAAAAAATTTTGTAGACACATGGTCTTGCTATGTTGCACAGGCTAGTCTCAAACACTCAGACTCAAGCAATCCTCCTGCCTCTGCCTATATTGGATTTTTAAATGCTGTTATAAATGATATGTTGTTGCTTATTAAATGTTGTTAGCATACAGAAAAACAATTGATTTCTGTATGTAAGCCTAGTGTGCAGCAACCTTGCCAAGCTTGTGAATTTATCTGTAGATTCTTTAATATTTTCTACATATAATTATGAATAATTGTGTTTGTAATACATAACGACAATTTAATTTTTTCCTTTTTTTTTTTTTTTGAGACAGTGTCTCACCTCATCACACAGGCTGGAGCGCAGTGGCGCAATCTCAACTCACTGCAACCTCTGCCTCCCAGGTTAAAGCAATTCTCCTGCCTCAGCCTCCCGAGTAGCTGGACTACAGGCATGCACCACCACGCCCAGCTACTTTTTGTATTTTTAGTAGAGATGGGGTTTTGCTATGTTGGCCAGGCTGGTCTCAAACTCCTGGCCTCAAGTGATCCACTGCCTTGGCCTCCCAAAGTGCTGGGATTACAGGCATGAGCCACCGCGCCTGGCCTATTTTTTCCTTTTAAATTATTAAACATTTTATTTTATTTTATTTTATTGGTTTATCACATTGGAAAGACCCTCCAGAATAATGTTAAATAAAGACAGTGGTAGTGAACAGAGAGAAAGTTTTATCATTTTACCATTAGTGTCATGTCTGCTATAGGTTATTGTATTTGCCCTTATTCAGATTAGGAAATTCCCTTCTAGTCCTGGTTTACTGAGATCTTTTTGTCATGAATGGATATTGAGGTTTATCAGAAACACTTTTTGGGCCAGCTGCGGGGCTCATACCTGTAATCCCAGCACTTTGGGAGGCCAAGGCATGGTGGTACATGCCTGTGGTCCCAGCTGAGGCTGAGGTGGGAGGCTTGCATGAGTCCGGGAGGTTAAGGCCGCAATGAGCTAAGATCAAGCTACTGCACTCCAGCCTGGGCAACAGAGCAAGACCCTTTCCAAACAAACAAAAAGAAAACTTTTTGTATATACTGAGATTATCATATAATTTTCTCTCTTTTTTTCTTTTGTTCATAATGAGAAGTACATTGATTTTGTAATGTCAAACAAAATTTACATAAATCCAACGTGCTGGTGATATATGATCTTTTTTATATACTACTAAGTTTGGTGTTCTAATTTTTGGTAGGATTTATGCATCTATATTTATGGTAATATGCTTGTAATATTTCTTTCTTGTAAAGTCCTTGGGTTTTGGTGTTAAGATTATATAAAGGTTATACCAACTTCATCAAAGAACTTGGGAATCATTCCCACTTTTTCTGTTCTCTGGAAGATTTTGTGTAACTGTAATTTCTTCCTTGAATGTTTGGTAGATACAGAAATTGGTTCCAGAAGTAGGATGTTGCCGTAACAACAGCAACACATTCTATATTATGTGGCATTCTAGTCTGACAGCATGAAATTGTTGTGGAAGACCTGAAAAGATGGCAATCCATATGATGCAGTGGGAAAAAGTTGTAAAACTATAGCCTGGAATAGATTAAAGGGCATATTATATACCTAATAAGTTTGTACTGTATGCAAAGAGGTAGAAAATGAATGCTATTAGAATGAGTTTATTACTATAGGCCACATTTGCCAAAGTACTAGAAGAGATAGAGGAGCTCAGAAAATATTTGGCTGGTTTGCAAGCAGGAATACAAAATAATTCAGAGAGAGTCTCAAAACTCAGGGATTTGCACAGTTGGAAGGAATAACTGATTCACATCTTCAACTAGTAAAGAAAAAACTGAGAAGACCTTTGAGCAATAAATGATGCTGAAAACTATGCCAATTGGTAAGGACCAGTCAAAAGTATGGTTGTCACACCATTGTTAGGATCTCTGAATGGAACAAGGTGGTACCCAGCCAATACTTTGAGTTGGAAAAACATCTCAAGGAAGGAAGACGTAGGGTTTGGCTTTTTCTAAGGAAGCCTGATAGGCTCAAAATATCTACAGTGAGAGAGAGAGAAAAAAACATGTCTCTAAATAATTGTGGCACATAGCACTGCTTAGAATCAAATACATAATTTGGGATAATTTTGAGAAGTTGACATTGTCAAGGGAATCACTGGCACGGTCTAAAAGAGAATGTGATTGTTGGAGACAAAATGATCACTGGACCCCAGTCTTCCGTAGCTGCATTTCAGGATTGCTATGAATCCTTTCATATGTTATCCTTCTTTAAGAATGGGACTATCTATTGCAGTTATCCTTTCCTTGTTCTACCATGATGTATATTATTTACAGAGGCAAGGACCAGATAACTTATCTTTTTAGTTCAAAGGTATTTAGATCAAAGGGAGCTATACCTGTATCTATAGAGAGACCCTTGTGAATTGTTCTTAGCTCATGAGCTCTGTGCTAAAAATATTGATGAGATGGAACTTTGGGGTTGTTTTCCTTAAAAATGTGTGTTCTGCATATGGGAAAGGAAAGGAACTGACCCAAAGGGTAAACTATGATAGGCTATATTACTATTCATGCTGTCATCTAATCCTCTCCCCTTGAGTGTGGCCTGGACCTGGTGACTTGCTTTTAACCAATAGTATATAGTGAAAGTGACAGGATGTCCCTTCTGAGGTTAGGTTACAAAGAGACTGTGGCTTCCCTCTGGTGTGCCCTCTCTTGCTTTTTCATTTGCTCACTGTGATGGAAGCCTGCTACCATGGGAGATGCCCTATGGAGAGAACCATGTAGCAAGGAAGGCAAGGGAGGCCTCCAGCCAACAGCTGGTGAGCACTGCAGTCTTCAGTCCAACAGAGCATGAGGAATGGAATCCTACCAACAACCACATGAATGAGCTTCAGGGCCTTCAGTGATACTGCAGTCCCTGCAAACACCTCGACTGTAGCCTTATAAGAGCCCTTGACACAGAGGTACTGGTTATGAACTGAAATGTATCCCCTTTCCCCACAAATTCATATGTTGAAGTCTTCACCCCGATCATTATTGTATTTGCAGATAGTGCCTATAAGGAATAAAGGTTAAACAAGGTCATGGGGCTTTAATCTGACAGGACTGATGTCCTTATAAGAAGAGACCAGGTGCAGCTCGCATCTGTAATCCCAGTGTTTAGGGAAGCTGAGGTGGGAAGAACCCTTGAGCCCAAAAGTTTAAAGTTACAGAAAGTTATGATTTTTATTTTTTATTTTTTATTTTTTATTTTTGAGATAGAGTCTCGCTGTCACCCAGGGCTGGAGTGCAGTGGTGCAATCATGGCTCACAGCAACCGCTGCCTCCAGGTTCAAGTGATTCTCCTGCCTCAGCCTCCCAAGTAGCTGGGATTAGCTGGGATTACAGGTGTGTGCCACTATGCCTGGCTAATTTTTGTATTTTTAGTGGAGACGGGGTTTCATCATGTTGGCAAGGCTGGTCTCAAACTCCTGGCCTCAAGTGATCCACCCACCTCAGCCTCCCAAAGTGCTGGGATTACAGGCGTGAACCACCGCGCCCAGCTCAGTGAGCTATGATTGCACCACTGCACTCCAGTCTGAGCAACAGAAGCAAGACACTGTCTCAAAAGAAGGAAAAGGAGAAGCAGAAGAAGGAGGAAGGAGGAAGGAGGAGGAGGAGGAGGAGGAGGAGAAGGAGAAGGAGAAGGAGAAGGAGAAGGAGAAGGAGAAGGAGAAGGAGAAGGAGAAGCAGCAGCACCAGAGATCTCTGTTTCTGCATGTACATGGAAGAAAGGCCACGTGAGGACACGGTGAGAAGACAGCTGCCTACAAGCCAGGAAGAGAAGCCTCCTCAAACCAACTCTACTGGCATCTTAATCTTGGAATTATAGCCCCTAGAACTATGAGAAAATAAATTTCTGTTGTGCAAGTCACCCAGTCTATGGCAGGTTGTTGTGGGAGCCCTGTTAGACTAAGACAGTATCCCGCTAAACTGTGTCTGGATTCTTGAACCACAGAAGCTTTGAAATAAGTGTTTGTTGTTTTAAGCTGAAAATTTTGGGAGTAATTTGCCATGCAGCAATAAATAATACAATAGCCTATTTTGTTTTTCTTTATATTCTCTTTGACCTCTGTCCTGAAAAATGGGCAGGTGGAATATCATCTTCTAGTACTTCAAATTCTTACTTTTGGATAGATGCAGTGGCTCACACCTGTAATCCCAGCACTTTGAGGGGCCGAGGCGGGCAGATCATCTGAGGTCCGTGAGTTCGAGACCAGCCTGGCCAACATGGTGAAACCTTGTCTCTATTAAAAATACAAAAATTAGCCAGGCATGGTGGTGCGCACCTGTAATCCCAGCTACTCCGGAGGCTGAGCCAGGAGAATGGATTGAACCCAGGAGGCGGAGGTTGTAGTTAGCCAAGATCGCTCCACTGCACTCCAGCCTGGACAGCAGAGCGAGACTCTATCTAAAAAAAAAAAAAAAAAAAAAAATTAACAAAGTAACAAATTCTTATTTTCCAGGTAAAGAAAAAGTCAACCTCCTTGACTGATGAATCATGTCAGTTTCTAAGTATCATTTCCTGAAACCTTTTCAGTGCTTCCCATTTTCCCAGCAAAGTAAAAAACAACTTTTGTTTAAATTCCGATTTGGGTGACAGTAGGTAAGAATAGAATAATTGCAATGATTTGAAGTTCATGGGATTTTTGTGTATATTTGTATGGCTTATCGTATACACAGATGAATTGTATATATACACATGTATACACATGAATTGTTATAATTCTGTCTATATGTTATATGTGAATTTCTACTATTATATAATTCCTATAAGGACACTAACATATTGGATATTTCTAGGTGATCTTAATTGCACACCTATTGAAATAAACCTGTAGTTTCCAGAAGTGGAAGAAAATTTGCTGAGACGTCAGCTGAGGATTCTTCCTGGAGAACTCCGGAAATGGAGAGCTTCCACACAAGATTTAGTGCCTGGACACCTTTTAGCAACAAGTCATTAAATAGACAGGTAAGTTACATACTTTAAAGTAGAATAAGTTTAATTCATAGGGTTAATTTTACTGTGATATATTGGGTCTCATGTTGCCATATTTTTAAAGAAAAACTCTCTAAAGAATTTAGCTTTTGATTCAGTTTAAACAAAAATAAACTTAGCTTTGTCCCAAAGACAGTCTCTTCTCACGCCTGTCCCCATCTCCTACCTTAAGGGAGGCTCCAGATGGCCTCCCTTTCCACTCAGTACCTCCAGGGACAAAATAGAGACCTCCAGGACACACAGTTGCTGGAGACAGGGGAGGATATGAGAAGGTGCTTTTGGTGGTGGAGGCTGGGAGTGTTCATGCATGTGTTCCTGTGTATTTCTGTAATCCTCTCTCCCCTCCTGTGCCAATTGGATGGTTCCATGTGGCCTGGGGATGCCTCTCCTATTTTAAGGTAATTCAGGAAGTCGTGATTTAATGGCTTATGGTGGCTCTGGCAATAGAGAAGGCGAACTGAGTGCTCAGAGCTCTCACGGGTGCTCCTGTGAGTTCAGCCTCATTCACCGGGAAAGGAGACTAGACCAGGCTGGGGCTAAAGCCTGACCTATGATAAGAATAGTGAGTTTGTTATCTCTATCTGAGCAAAGCTGGACCGAAACCCAGGTTTGGGGGATTCTGGTCCTTAATGTATATCTTCCCTAGAGACATGTCTCTGTTGGCTATTAAGTGATACTTACTTTCATCTTGGTGGGTGCTATGAAGATCCAGGGTTGTGAGTTAGTGAAGTTATACCTACCTCAAATGGTCCTGTTCTCACAATTAAATGAGTGTAGCCCGTATATGTTTTCAAGATGAAACGTATGGACTCTGTCACATTAGCCTAGGTAGAAACAAGATCCAGGAATCATTACCTGTTTGTTTTCCAGAGGCCCTTCTTGGGCCCCTCTATAATTACATCCCTGCCAGTCCTTCCCATCAGCCCACCCAACAAGTCTGGGCCTGTCAGTATCCCTGGGTAAAAAGTTTAACCTGAAAGGCGAGACCTTTCTCTCTATATGTGAAAGCGCTGTGTGAACTGTAATGCACTCTGCAAATATTAGCAGTGAGGTTGCTGGTAGATTGTCTAAAGATTGCTTAGCAATTAAAAACATTGAACTGTACAGCAAAATGCCACTTCCTCCCCTCCCCCTTATAGCTCTTTCAGGAAAGAGTGGCTCTTATAAGTCATTGGTTTGACCTCTGGACTAACAAGCAACGTCAAGAATTCTTATTCGCAATTTTTTTAAGATGCACTAAATCACAGTTAAGGTAAGTGTAGCCTAATGATGTAATTAACATTGATTCTTAAAGAAAACCATATATAAATGTTTATATAACCCTTAAGAGATGTTTTGTTCCTAGAGGGAAAAAAAACCAGGCAATTGATATTTTAAGATTTATAAACAGACTCTTCCAGTGCCTGCTTTCTCCTTTTCTCCTTGAGGCTAAAGTGGAGCCGTGGGGGGATTTAACGCTTTCATACTATGGTGGGACTGTTTCATGTTGGCAAAAACACAATGGCTTCAGTCAGTGAATTTTTAACATTCTCTTAGCATATTACATTTTCCTTGGAACCATCAGACAGACAATATATTGCAAATGGATGTCTGGGACATAGGTAGGCAAAATCATTAAATGAATGGATGGATCTAAAAAATATATGACAAGTGACAGTGGTTGAAACATTTAGGAATCTGGGCAAGACTTATACAGCCCTAGTCAAGGATTGCCAAGAGGGTTCTCTTTCTTTTTCTTCCCCTTCCCTCATGTTATGTCTGTAATTTACTTTAAAACACTCAGCACAGACAGTGTGACATCTGTGAGTTGAAGTTATGCCCAGGGTCAGCTCATGTTCTGGTCAGGAATGAATACCCTAGGAGTCATTAGCCAGCTCTAGTTTGGAAGGTCAAAATACCTGAGTTATCAGATACTTTACTAATTAGCATAGCAAATATCAGGCATTATTCTCAAAACAACCTGTGGCTTGTTAACTAGCCAGACGAATGTTAGAAATGGATTCTCTTTTGTGAAGTTAAAGGTATTCAAGATATGTGTGGACTGACCGAAATATTCTAGAGAGCCCTCCAGCTTGCCTGGGTGTGGCTGAAGAATCCAGCCAGGCTGGTAGCAGGTGTGTGGCAGGATGCTTTTCCAGCCTTCAATGCCAAATAAATGGCCTTATGTTAGTCTGGAGGATTTCTGGTAGCCCGAGGCCAACAATGAGGGTAAAAATAATAGAATACTGTTTCTGAAACACTGTCCTTTCGAATGAACCTTTTACCCAGAGGAGAGAGAGCTGGGACTTCATCAGGCCTACAGAGGAGACTGTGTGAAGTTGTTTGGGCTTATTTACTAATGTTTGTTTAGAAAAACTCTAAGTATGGCATCATTTGATGTTAGGTACTTTCACTAGAACTTGGTGATGAGGCTGCAGGAGAGGGTAACCTTCGGATGTCTTAGATAGCCCGCAAAAGTATCTGAGAGTTGTGCATGACCAAATTGGCGTATTTTAGGTGGAGCACTTGCCTCTTGTTCTTTCTTACGTGTTTTCCTGCCAGTCTCTTTTGATCAGTCATTTTTTCTCTCCTTCTCATGTGTCGGCTACTCCTGCATCTGTGGGTGCAAAGCAGATTGTTAATGGACTCTCTCAGTGGAGTCACTGGAAGGAGACAGGCGTCTTTCTGGCTCTGTTGAAAGAGGCTGCAAAGACAGGGCACGGATAAACAGGCCCTTCAGTCAATGTTGAAATATCAGGGGGAAGAGACATTTTATGATAGTCATTGGCTATGTTTCCTTTTACTCCAACTTTGCAGCTTTCAAGATAAGAAAATAACAGACCAGACGTCACATTTATAACCACTTTGTGCGTCGTGTTCTAGGCTCAGGTATCATAAACCAGGCAATTTTAGTCGTGACCACTGGAGGTCATTAGAGATCTTGTGGTATATTTTGAAGCAGCTTAATTTAGGCCTGACATTTTGTCACTGGAAATTGCATCCTTTGTCTGGTAACTGAATTCTTTTTTCTGAGACAAAAATATAAAACTAACCTGTTCAGTGAAAGCGTTTTTTTTTTCTTTTTTTTGGGTTTTTTTGGATAGCAGTAGCATTTCTTCAGAGAGCAGACTGTATTTCACAGTTCCATGAAATTCCATGATCATAACCACATGTTTAGACCATTTCATCACCCCACAAAGAACCCCCCTACCCATTAACAGTAACTTCTCATCTCCATCCCTCTAGATCTGGGCAAACAAGAATCTACTTTCTGTCTCTATAAATTTGCCTATTCTGGACTTTTCGTATAAATGGAATTAGACAGTATGTGGTCTTTTGTGACTGGCTTCTTTCACATATTATAGTGTTCTCAAGGTTCCTCCATTTTGTAGTATGTATCAGTACTTCTTTCCTTTTTATTGCCAAATATTATCCCATTGTATGGATATGCCATATTTTATTTATCCACTCATCAGTTGATGGACATATGGACTGTTCCCCATCTTTATTTACAATAATTATTATAAATAATGCTGCTATGAACATCTGTGTCCAAGTTTTTGCATAGGGATGTTTTTATTTCTCTTAGCTATACATATAGGAATGGAATTGCTAGGTCCAATGGTAGTACAATCACTTTTTAATTATTAAACATTTCTTTTGAATCATTTATTCCTGTAGTCTTGCCTACCCAATAACTGTAAATAAGCTTGTTAATAAATGAAATACATTAGCATAATTTAAATGCTTGAAATCTTTATATGTAAGCTAGGCTATATTTGTGCAATACCTTTCTTTCAAAGTAAAGAGACCATTGTTTTAGATGTTTTGTTTTATAATTTCCAAATAATTTTTGTTTTAATTCAGCTATAAACAGGGTATTGCAATATTGGTGGGAACTGTTATCACAACTGTCTTTAAAAAAATTCTTAATCTCTATGAGATATATTCAAATATCTTAGAGTTTTCTTTCCTGTCCTAATAAATATTCCCTATTGTTAAGTTTTAAGATGATTTCCTAAGTGGAATTTTATTATATTTAAGACATTTATTTAAAGGTTCAGCTTCTTAAACCATCCTTCTGGCAAATTCTCCTTGCCACAACTAAAATGTCCCTTCTCCTGGGAAGCCTTCTCTGCTTGTCTTTCATGCCCAGCAACTTTATATCTCAATTGTGGCTTTTCCTCAGTACGGTATGGCCCCGTGTCACCCACATGACTAATGGTTTCCAGTGATGTCTTTCCCCTACCACTTGACTAGGTTGACCTTTCCTGTGACTCCTTAAAGGAAACTGGGTTGCTTGTGTCTGTTACACTTGGAGAAACCTATGAGGAGTCTGAATCAGTCTCCTTGCCACACTGGTTTAACCGGTTTTGAATTGCCTCTGCTTAGTGCCTGGTAATTCCTTAAACAAAAGCCTTTGGTTCCAGAGCCGGAGCTGCTCAAACTTGCAGCTTTCCTCGGTGGGTGGGGCAGTATCCACGCAACTGCATTCCCTAGAGGGGGAATGCATTGATCCAGGTGTGTATGTGTGTGTTTGTGTGTGTGTGTGAGAGATAACAAACAGCCCATGAAGGATTCGCTCTCGTCACTTTTCTCCATCAGAGCAGACTTGAAATGGGGTTGGACGGCAGAAACATGTATCTACCAAGGTGTATTAAGAGAAAACAGCCCCGACTCCCACTTCCATTCTTCCTATGCAACCTGCGAGGGCTCACTTGAGGACGTCTGTCTCAGCTGTGATCTGTGAGGCAATCTGGTGCACAGTTTTTCAGAGACAACATACTCCTAGGTTAATTTTAAATATAGAACAGCCACATCACTCTCAGTTACTGAATGTCCATTTAAAAGGAGAATATTTCTGTGTGGAGATGGTGAAGATGTTAAAGAAAAAAAACATGGAATGAAACTTGATGAAGACAGTAAAGCAGACATTATTGAGAACCATGGAGATAGTAGATAGCTATAGGGACTGCTGCATGGCGTCAGGGGAGAGAGATTGGGCTCAACTTCAGATGCAGCATGGACAAGTGGGAACGGATAGGCAAGGAGCAGGCTGGGGCTCAGTGGATGGAAAATTACTCAAGGAAACATCAGGGGTAAGCAGGAATCTGAATACACTGACCCAATAGGACTCTTGCTGAAGACAGGCCAGGGTGCTCAGACAACACCTGGGGGAGGGTGGAGGATGAGGAACCTGATAAGATATCCAGGGTGGGGGTTCTTCCTAAACTGACTTAACAGGGCTCTTTACTAAAACAGAATTTTATAAGGAAGTGCACAGGGGGGTCAAAGGGAAGTTTCAGAAGCTTGACTAAAGTTTGGTCAAGCAGAGAATCTTTGTCAGAGAGGAGAGGGGAGTACTCAAAGTGTAAGTGTACACTTGTATCTAAAACGACTGTTTTCTAAATATCCAAGGCAAGTCAATTCAAGTCATCTTGACTTCCTTCCCCTTCGCCCAGTATTCTGCATATGTTCCTGCCCTCCTACACACGTGGGCTGGTTAAGGACAACCGCATGAAATATTAGCATTTGCAATTGGGATGGTTTTTAGAGGTGAATGATGCTTAAAAAAAAAAAAAAAGAAAAGAAAAAGAAAATCATTGAGTTTTAAAAGGAAAAAGCAAAAAGCAAAGCTCTTTGATTGGATGGATGGAGGGAAGGTTACTGGCCTATATTAGACAACATCCACTGGCTTGAAGTTCTCACTCCCATTTTGTGAGTGTGTGGAGCTGCTCTCTCTCCCTTTCTCATGTTGAGCTTCTCTGTCTACCGCTTGACACCACCTGACACTATGTGACATGCAGGACTTGTTTCTTTGCTGTCTGCCTATCCCACTAGAATGAGGGCTCCATGACAGCAAAGACTTTGGTGATTCTTTTCATCTCTAGCACTTAGAGCCATACCAGGCATATAGCAGCCACTCAATAAATGCTTGTTGAATGAATTCAGATATCTAAAGCACTCCTAATTCCAAAAATGACAAAAAGCTAATCAGAAAAAAATTTTCATTTGGTAGCTCTCTAGGAGGAAGGAGTTTTTCAAAATATTCCAAGTTTTAATTAAAAAAAAATTAGCTGGGCGTGGTGGCGGGCACCTCTAATCCCAGCTACTCGGGAGGCTGAGGCAGGAGAATTGCTTGAATCTGGGAGGTGGAGGTTGCAGTGAACTGAGATCTCACCATTGCACTCCAGCCTGGGCTACAGAGCAAGACTTCATGAAAAAAAAAAAAAAAATCCAAGCATTAGAATATAGGACATTACTAATACTTTG